TCTGTTCAAATCTGTTTTTTATATTATTGCTCAAAAAATAAAAAAATAAAAATCGGAGAAAGGNTTATATCCATTAATAATTGAGAAGTTAGATGCAAACATGGAAGTTCTGTTAATTCTGCTTCTTCAGATATTAGCTGTTAAAGTCTTTTACGTGTGATTACTCTTTTGTTGTTGTAGTATATAAAAAGAAGGTTTTGGTACTTGTTATTAAGTACTCCTAAATACATATATTCCTATTCCATTTTAATTACTTACCAAATCTGTTTTTTATATTATTGCTCAAAAAATTAAAAAAAAAAATCGGAGAAAGATGTGCCCTTTTCACATAAAACGAAGGAGTCGAAGAAAAATATCACACTTTTACTTCATTAAAACATGTTTTAGTTAAATATTCATTACAATAGCGATGACGTATATAAAGAAAGTGTATTATAACAAAAAATATAATCCAAGCAAAGCAACGCTATTTGAAAAGAAAGGAGAGAAATATAAGTCACAGGAAAAAGCAAAACAATATTTTTGTAAGTGCACTGACTAAATAAATGCCCGCTGTTTTCGTATGTTACTTCAAATAGCGTTCGCATATTTCCTGTTCTATGCAAGAAGGGCACATTCAGAATTTCACTTTTTTCTATATTACGAAGTTAGTTTAACAGATATCAAATCAACACTTTGAGGAGACGTAGAGGAGGGACAAACAATGGAACGATAATTTTTCAAAATTCATCAACCACATAGACATTGTGCGAAGAATTGAAAAACAGCGCCTTTAATGGCTTGGTAAAGTTCCAAATGCTCGAACCCTGAAAATATTTAACGAAAGAAGGAGAAAAATATCAATATCCATATGTTTGGCCTAACATTCGAATATTCATGTTGAGAACAGCATAAAAAAAATCGAAAATTTCTATTTTGCATTAGCTTTAGCTTTAGTGCATGTGTACTCAAAATTGTACATAAGTATGTGCTATGTGCATTGAAAAGTTCTCACGCACAACCTTATAAAATAACTGCTTTCTGATAGTTTACAGTGACATACTTTGCATAAAAAATTTGTGGGAAATGGAAGCCATAGGAATTTATGTTAAAAATTAGCAATAAAAACAGTAAATTGAGTGTAAGTTGGCGCTAAAATATCGCAATAATTTCTCATTTAGAAAGTCTCTGTATAAGGTCAGTTTATTAGCTAATACATGTTTAGTACATAATCAAAATGCAGTCCTCCATTTCTGTGAGTTGTTTGCTCTATTAAATGGGTTTTATTAAATTGTTTATGTGTTTGCGTTGTAGGATGAGATGAGTGTCTTTATATAAGCATTGAACACTGCCCAGCAGGGAAAGCATTGGAGAAAGGAAATACCACCGACTTACTTGTGAGATACTAGGGCGACATTGAGGTCTGTATTATAGACCTTATTAAAGCAGCAGAGCCCGTTGATAGTAATGGAGAAGGTAATGGTGGTGGTAATGGGAAAGGTAATAGGAATGGAAAAGGTAATGGGTAATAGTAAGCCTAGTGGTAACGACAATGATAATTATTATAGTAATGGCACTGGTATCGTTGTTAGTAATGGTAATGGGAAAAGGTAATAACAAATAAATAATATAGAAAATTGTATAGAAGCTGCGAATTTAAAACTCGTTAATGGGATTACATTGGTTTACAGCAAAAATGTTCTATGGATGCCACTGTCCAATGGCTATGTAGAAATGCTCGTTGATTGCGAAAATCGTGTTAATTTTTTTCTACGGATAAGTTTTCGAGATATTTTAAGTTTACCGTTATTTTGCTTAAAAACAAAGAATGGTTCCACTTAATGACACAAAATGAAAGCTAATGAAATTCTCCATAAACCGTATATACATCAGCTTTCGACATGTCTGATAGTTTCTGAGTTTCTTTATCCGGGAAAAATTAAATATCTAAAATAAGATTCTGTGTCAATTTTTTTTATTTATTTATGTTAAAGCCTGTTCTGTTACGAATAAAAAAATCAAGCTACCAATAAACCAAATCGATGGTAAATAAAGAATGAAAATACACAAAGATTTTTTGTATGAAAAATGAGCAGGAAAGAATGTAACACATACGCCATGCACACCTGATCGACGTACGTACATACATACGGTTTATGGAGAATTTCATTAGCTTTCGTAAGAAATACGTGATTAAGTGGAACTACTCTTTTTTTTTTAGATAAATAACGGTATACATAGAACAAAAATTAACTCGATTTTCATTCACCGAGCAATTCTACATAGGAATTGGATAGTGGATTCCGGTGAACAAAAAAAAAACAAAAATTTGCAATCCAGTGTTATTGGAGTTTTTATATTTAAAACCATTTTCCTGTTTTTGTAATGGTCCGCAGAACGCAGAATCTACGAAAAGTATTTAACACGCTACTTTGGATTAAAGTAAAATACCCTTATATACAATTTAACGATACGCTGCATAATCTTTGACAAGACATACACATGGTGCAGTGATTTAAAATGCTACTCATATCAGGCTGGATAATTATCCGCCCCTTGAGCGAGTTAATCTTAACTGGTTTTATCTTTGAGAGGTGCCTTACAAAAAAAATACAAAACATCTTACAGGAAATTTTCACTTGTTTTGTGTCACTTTTATTTACAGGGCCACTGTTCTAGCCTTAGGTTAGGCTAAGTTATGTTGTTTGCCCCAAAAAGACGGTTCCGGAGAGCTTCTTCGGGCTGGAAAGAAACAACGATCCCATGAACAACGAAATGACCACGCAGTCAAAGGTACTCTCTTTCTCTATTTTTTCGGTGCCGCCATCACTCTGGTCTGATTCCCATGTACATATATCTGACTATCAAATACTCAGAAGTTACCAACAGAATGGTCAGGCACTCTCCAACTAGAAGCTTTGAGTACAACGTGAGGGATCCCAATGCACTGACTGCGCTTGACAATCACAATAGATATTTATATACTTGCAGTAGTCGACACATTCTTCAGTGGCAGTTTACCTATGCCTGGGAGTCTAAATTTAAGGTTGATGGAGAGTTCCCTACAAAATACCTCATCACAGACCTTTACGTCAAATTTTGACCCATCTGTGCAAATGTTTACCAGTCTCTCCTCCCAACCACGGCCTCTTATCCACACATCCCTATACAGGATGTTAGTTGCGAAAGAGCTTATTGGTCGTCTCAATTAGTGATTTGTGTTTAGAGTTCCCAACTCCTGAGTTAGTAGAGCAAATCACTAAGTCTGAGGGAATTCCTGCTGCAGTAACTTTATATATACTCTGTGCCTCGTAAGTTTCTAATGTCCAAAGGTTCTGCAGCACATATTCGAGGAGCTTCTCTGCAGGGGTTGCTGTACTGATGTTTAAAGGCTAAGTGCTCAACAATATTTTTCTTCGTGCTCTAATTCTTTCACCGTATCTGTATTATTTATACTGTCTGTGTGTCCTTAGAGAACGTGAAGCTTATGCAGACAAGTGCTGGTATATACACTTAGCTCTTAATATGCACATCATCATTTGCATTTTAAATTTCATTCTCCTTGACCGTCATTTTTGTGGTCGAGCGCACACTCTTCACTCCCACCACACTCTCCGCAATCTTGATTGTCTACTTAACACTTAACAAACAAAAGCGGTTAATACTTCGCTGTTGTGTATGCCACCATCGCTAAAGACAGAAATTCATGGGTCAGTATTAGATTGTATGCATGTGTGTATGTATGTGCGATAATTGTGGGAATTTTGGGACTATCACGCATAAGTTTCGATTTTACATTATTGCATATTACATACATATTTGACATACATATAACTAATACAACTACACGCAAACTAGCAGGCAAATATGTCTGGGTATAGTTAAGTCGATATAAAGNAAGTTTCGATTTTACATTATTGCATATTACATACATATTTGACATACATACATATAACTAATACAACTACACGCAAACTAGCAGGCAAATATGTCTGGGTATAGTTAAGTCGATATAAAATGGAATTTTTAATGACCTTTACAACGTGCGGTTTCAATATCAGCGGGTCAATGTGCGTATGTCTGCTTGGATATTTATTTACAATGCATATATATGTATGTATACACAGCCGTGTGTAGCACGTTTGGCTCGTATACTCATTCGAGTACATATTTGCATATTTAATTTTGTGCTCTAGTGATATGATATGCTCAAGCCAACTTTAATTGATGTGCTTTGGAATCCACATTTACACATTAGGCCACTTAACCCATACCAATACACGTGTGTATATTTAAATCCTTATACAAACACGTCTTAACCACAAATAGGTTGCTTCTGATGGATTTGTTCTGCCACTCATGGCTGTCCTATCAAAAGTTCACATACCCGTTCAATTAGTCACATGCATACTTACATATATGTGTGTACCCTGCAAACGATTTTTTTCAGAGTATTCTGAGTTGTAGAGAAATTTTAAAGAATTTTTAAAGATCTCATCCGAGTTTTTGCCGAATTTTCTAAAATGAAATAAACTGTGCACAATTCGACTCTTTTACGAAATATCGGAAGAAAATCGGTAAAACAATGAAAATAATTCTGCTATGTGAAGAATTTCTTGCAGATTTTTTTCAGAATTTTCTTTTCGTACAGAAATTTCTTTACGAGTTCGTGTCAACCACTTCATATAATTTTCTTTGAAGATTCGTAAAAAAATCGGTAAAGATATGAGATTCTCCTAAAGATTTCGTTAAGATTTTGGGAACTTTGGTTTGCAGGGTATATGAATGTATGTATCTTCGCACACATGCACGCATATATTGAGTGTGTAAGTATGCGTTGCGCATCTATTACGAACGTGAGAACTAATTTGTTCTACACTTTTTTTTATTTATTAAATAAAATCTTAAGGACACGTCGTCGGTTTTATGAATGGCCGCGTGCGTGAGAAAGTCTGCTGCTGCTGTTTGATTGATTTAGCGTTTTAAAGAAATTTTAAGGTTTCGTAGAAAATTCTATGTCAATCAAATCGGTGTGGCATTGTTGTGGCAGACGCATTGGCAGCTGGTAATAACTGCTCTTACTCGAATTAGTGCAAATTAAGTAAATTTTGGAAAAGTAATTTTGGTGTACATACAAAAAAAATAATAATGACTTAACAATAACTGAAAAGTGAAAGATATTAGGTGTATTTTCATTCACAGAGAATAAACTGAAATAAAATTAAATTCTAACTAAAAACACAAAAAAATGGCATTCTACTCGGAAAGAGAGGCTTACTGTATTTACTAACTATTGCATAAAGCTGAAAACTTCAAAATTTTTTTTAATAATTTGTTATAAAAGCCAAAGGAAAAGGTATATATTTTTTTAAATGTGACTTTAGTGAGTATTTAGTGCCGCAAATTTTAGCTTAAGTTGTGTCAGTAATATAAAAAAAAAAAGTAATAAAATTTCAAAGAACGTTCAAATATTTTTCATTACTGAAATTAGCGAAGTATTAAAAATCAGAACAGAAAGCATCCAGTGCGCTCAAAAATCTTCTAAATGGTTAGTTATTTTTCAAATTTAATACCGTGCGACAGTTAAAAAAAAAATCAATATATTCGTGAAACTAGCGACCAAAAATTGTAGAACTGCGTTTTCAGCATTAGACTCTGTCATCAGGAAGGACTTTGAAATTTAAATGGTATGGTTAATTAAAAAAAGAAAAAATATTTAAAAAACTCAGTTCAATGTAGAGTAATAACATGGATATCAAATACAACAGAAAATACTTTAGAATTAAAAAGACAAACGTTTATGTTTCACAACGACGAATATGTTTTTCAAATGTCATTTTAATACTGAATATCCTTGGAAATTTTTTTAAAATATTATATGTTAAGGACTGACATACACACGACCACATCCTGGAATATATCTAACTGTATTAGCTTAAAAATTAAAATTAACTAAAAGGGCATTTCTAATACCTGTTTGTTTATGTGAACGAAAAAAACTATCTTTTTTTATTTCTACACAGTTTTCTCTTCCATTTGGTATACATACCGTTATTCCACATTGCAATGATTTAAAAAAAAATTTTTTTTTGAATTGACCAAATCTATAAAATTTGAAAAAAATCCTTAAGTTAGAGAGGAAAATCAAAAACGCAGTTTTACTAGATTTAGCCAATAGTTTCGTCAGTGTTTTTACTTATTCGTATGTTTTGAAAATGCAGATGAATACTTAAATTTTTTTAAATAAACGCATTTACCTTATTAATCCATTCGTTGGCATGATGAGCTAAATATAAAAAAAATGTACTAAATACTTGTCCAAATTTAATCTAATGAATTGTGGTAAATAAATTGAGACACTTCTAATACAAAGCTAAAGATTACACTGGTTCACAGCAGAATTGCCCGCGGATTCCGAAAATCGAGATAATTTTTTTTCCATTAATACGTTTTCGAGATATCTGCGATTTACCCTTATTTAGCTTAAACAAGTAAGAGCAGCGCTGTCATCGGCTATGCCGAAGGCTTCATACCTTTCATGAACATCTGCAAATTTTACTTTGACAGATTACTGCTTTTGAATACATCTGCATACATCGATAGAAGAGTTACATATTTATATAAAAAATCGCATCTAAACAATCAGAGGTATGGAAGATATATGTTGTAGTCATCCGATCCTTGTTATTTTCACTGTAAGTATTCTGTTAATAATGAGTGAAAATGGTGCGAAATTTCATGTTCCTAGCTGCATAAATGGAGGAGTTATGATAAAAGACCTCATATCTGAACAATCAGTTGTATGGGGGCTGCAGGTTATAGTGACCCGATCTTTGTTATTTTCACTGTAAGTCTTCTGTTGATAATGAGTGAAAACAGCGCGAAATTTCATGGTCCTAGCTACATAAATGGATGAATTATAACGAAAAATCTCATATCTGAACAATCAGTTGTATGGGAGCTATAGGTTATAGTGATCCGATCTTTGTAATTTTCACTATAAGTATTCTGTTGATAATGGGTGCAAGTATTGCAAAATTTCATGTTCGTAGCTGCATAAATGGAGAAGTTATAATGAAAAATCTCATATCTGAACAATCAGTTGTATGGGAGCTATATGTTATAGTGGTCCGATTCTTCCGGTTCCGACAAATGATTAATACATTATAAAAATACACCCACCTACCAAATTTGATCCGGATATCTCGAAAACTGAGAGACTAGATTGCATACAAACAGACAGACAGACGGACAGACGGACAGACGGACATGGCTAAATCAACTCAGCTCGACGTTCTGATCATATAAGTATACATTTTAATGGGTCTATCTCTTTTTGTTCTGGTACTTACAAACATCGGACCAAAGTTATAATACCATTTCATGCTCATGAAAGTATAAAAATAGTGGTTTCACTTTATCACGTATCTCTTACAAATTAACTGAATAATCGTAATACGAAATACGGCAATATCAGGCCTATCGAAAAGTGATGTATATGTGGTTTATGGAGAATGTAATTTGCTTTCATTTGCCGTATTACGATTGTTCAATTGGTTCGGCAGATATACGCGACTAAGAGGAACCACTCTTTTTTTAAGCTAAATAACGGTAAATTGTAAATATTCCGAAAATGAATCCATAAATAAATATATAAAAACTAACTCGGTTTTCGGAAACACCGAGCAATTCTACAAAGGAATTGGATAGTGGCATCTGGAGATCAAAAAGTGTGTTATTTGCATTAGTTTTGTAAAACAAACCTTGATCTATTGGTGTATCAGTGGTGGTGTAAGTGTATCTAAATGCGTGGCTAGTTTAAGTAAAGGTAAGGCTTGGTAACTGAATTCGCGCTTATGTGTTAATGCAAATCGCTGGTGTGTATATCGAGCCCTAACCGCCAAAATAAAGTAAGTTAATTTTTTTCAAAATTTTCCTTTGGATGCAGAAATGCATCTAGATGCTCTAGGAATGTTTCTATATCAAAAAAAAAATTTTGAAAAAAATGTCGCTTACGTTATTTTGGCGGTTAGGGCTTGATATCTTTCTCCATATGAAACTCGAAAGGTCTCTTCTTAAGAGCTTTTAATTACAGGTTCAGTTTTCGCTTGTCATTGATCGAGTAAACATCGTTTGTCGTGCATTTTTACTGTGTTTTTTTTTGGTCTTTGGCTTCTGTTCCTTGTACCATTTGAAAATTCGCTTTGGATGTAAGAATATAGAATAATGGAGAAAAGGAGGACTTTGTCAAATGTTGGGCGGTCCCTTCGAATTATTTTCAATTCCCCGACGAGACTTTTACACTTACAAAGCTGACGTTGCTGTGATGCAAAGTCATCCGGAACGAATGGAAGGATTGGCCAATACCCAATACGACAAAAAGGGGCACAAAATAGCTGAAGAATCGTTAATTCAGCAAAACACACATGAACATATATTAGTCCATTATTATTTATATTAATATACAGTTAAAAGTTGACCAGTGTCACATAAAAATTAATATTTTTTTAGCCATCCCTCTTAGAAACTACCCTTATAATAATATATACTGCCTCGCACGTAATCGCTCATCCTAGGCTTAAGACGTATACAATACTCAATAGGTTGCCATTAAAATTAGTTTCGGAAATTTTGACTCTACTCTAGTCAAGTGAGTGTGTAAGAAAACGCAGTAATTAGCCCTATCGCCAATTTTATGCAGTAATAAATAAATTGTTCCCATAATTTAACATGCAAACCAAAACCAAATAGGGAATATTTGTACGCATGAAATTCGCGTTAGGGCTGAATGTGAGGTGGGGGGGTGGGAACATAAAAACGTTCGTCTTTGCGAGTCCTAAAAGCATTCAAAATCGAAATTCCATATCTCTACCGCGCTGAATACAACTTTACTACTCATAAAATTAAATACTTCAATAAGCGATATTATTTTTTTTCTTAGAAGCGCAGCATTCAAATTAATAAACAAAAATAAAGACCGGCTTAAATGTGTGTTTTCACCGGCCTAAATGTTGATACTGACACTATGCATTGCTGTCACTCATACGCCATTGTAGTAACTTACAAACCGTACACCTAGCTCTAAAGTGAGCTAACTCAAAATTAAGATTGGGATATAAAACTACTTGTGGATCGTACAGCTTAACTAAGTATAAAGTTCCTATCAGCTTAAGATTAAAAAAAAACGTGGTCAATTTGTAAAAGGATGGGCTTAAATTAAAGCAGGAACTTTCGACTACTGCCTCTGACAATACCTTGACCTGATGATCACTTATACTTGAACAATAAAAAAGTATTGAAAAATTGTGCTATTTCCCTGCAAACCATTTTTTCAGAGTATTCTGCATTGTAAAGAATTTTTAAAGAATTCGTTAAGATTTAATTCGATTTTTTGCCGAATTTGATAAAATGAAATAAATTACGCACACTTTTCTTTTACGAAATTTCGGAAGAAAATTTGTGAAGGAACGAAAATAATGCTGCTTTCAGAATTTTTCCAGAATTTTCTTTTTTTTTTCATACAGAAATTTCTTTACGAGTTCGTGTTAACCACTTCATATAATTTTCTTTGAAAATTCGGAAAAAAATCGTTACAGAAATGAGATACTCCTAACGATTTCCTTAAGATTTCGGGAACTTTGGTTTGCAGGGTTATTGAAAAAAAAATGCCAAGTTTCAGTTTTTACAATATATGAATATAAGTGACCATCAAGTCCGGATGCAGGAATGGTATTCTAAGGGATAGTAGCCGAGAGTTGTATACCTTTTGTTTCTTTGCCAGAGCTCCTAAAATATTGCAAAAAACCCGATTTGTTTGACAATTTGACATCGTTTTTCTCAAAATCTGGAGCTACTGGAAACTTTATACTTACGGATTCGTAGCCAGCACAAAAAAGAAAAGCTTTAACATTTGGCGCACCAAAATGTTTTCCGTTTTCTTTGGCCTGTTTAATAGATTGGCGCTTACGCATATGTATGTTAGCGTTTGGCGAGCTTCTCCTCCGATTTGTGGTGTGCGCCTTGATGTTGTCCTGGAGGGACCTACAGTTTTGCGCCGGCTCCGTACGTCGATTGTATTTTTATGAGAATATTTTTTTATGGCACGCGGAGTTTTTCCATTGCCTGCCGAAGGGCCACCGCTATTAGAAAAACAACTTCTTTTTGTTTGTTGTTTTTTGATGTTGGGTTGAGCCAGGCTTAAATCCAGGTCCTGGGGAGTGGTAGCGCGCACTGCTAATCACTACACCATAGCGGCCGCCAATTTTCGGATATACTTCTACTAAAATGTCTACAACTTTATAAAGGAAGGTATCGTTCCGCCGCCGAAGAGGTAGTTGGATTTCATCGAATCCAAAAGAACGACTGATGATATATATTTAGAAGTATAAACCTCCCGCCGCCCTTAAATCGGTTAAATCTACCATAGACCAAGTATACATCATACGCCAAATCTTGACAAGCGCTCACATGAATAGGATTGGCACTCACTATGTCTTAGTAGATTTTGAAGCTGCTTTCGATAGCATGAATAGAAATTGTATATAGGCCGCGATGTATGAATTTGGTATCTGCGCGAAACAACTTAGTTCGGCTGTGTAAAGTGACGTTGAATTGAGTTCGGAAGACCCTCTCCGAGCATTACGATACTAAACGAGGTTTTTAAGAACTCTCTATTGTTTGATTCCGTTAATCTGACTCTCATGTACAGCTCTTCTATATAAGCTTACAATTGCCGGTGATGTCGATATCATCGACTTCAATAACCACACCGTTTGTTTTCCAAATTTGATATGGAAATAAAATACGCAGATGTGGAGGTTAATTGCCTGATCCAGTTTAGCTTAGGAAAAACTAGTTTGTCCCAAGATCGTGTTTGGCTGGTAACATAGTATATATGTAAGTAAAAACTAAATTTGCTGCATTCCATATTTACTTTGTATAACTCTTTCTGCATCTGTTCGAAAATCACTCCGCATACGTTAAAAAATAGATTTTTTGTATAGGAAGTAAACCGAAGCCAGGTGAAACTTTCAATTTAGGAAAGATACCACCAACCCTTTCAACGCTTGGCATCAGCTTATGGTCAGTATGCAATATGATAGCCTGAAAATTATCAACATATAAATTTTGTTTGGAGCACCCCTTTATTTTGTTTTAGGTATAGACAAAATGTATTCAATACAGTGTGATTGAATTTGACATTGCTCTCAGAAGAACCATCGTATAAAGTGAAATTGAAATTTATGAATTTGAACCAAGGCATATTCAACAAGGTAGAAGTGAGCTCTCTCATACCTGACTGTAATGTCAAAAAATGTAAACAAAGCAATTAAACCTTTGTTGTGCATTTACCACATTTGATCAAACTCAACATCTTTGAAATGAAAGTTTTTGTAAATATGAAAATATTTAAAATCTCATTAGAATCAGCTTCATTTTATTTATTGAATTTTCGGTTTAATGTAAATATGGGAATGCCCACTTACACAAAATTACACACTAAATGAAACACACTCATTTATAAAACCGTTTTGACAATTTTCTTGCTTTTACTATCCCAATGTTTTTCAGCATTTATTTTTTTTATTGAAATACTTAATTCTAAAGGATATTAGTCATTAAAAAATTTGATTCTTCTAAATTCACATCAGAATTTAATTTCAATAATTTAGCTATTAAATTTTGCTATTCGAAATTTCCTTTCCATTAAATTTATTAAAAATTACTTTCAGTTTCTTTATGTCAACAAGGAATACTGGTTTAGGTTTTATCAGACCACCATTTGAAATTTGGCCTATCCATGTATGTATATGAAAGGGAGATTTTCTTTTCATATTCGGTATGATAAATCCTGCACCTGGGACCAAACGCGTCCACTTAAAAATACTCGGCTGCGATGGGCAACAAATAAAGTCACGACCACACGTGAAGAGTCTCCTAATGAAACATCGCAGCAATTTGCACACCGTTTCCGCTTCACTTGACAATTCGAATGTTTAAAATAACGCACAAGTTTGTTTTCCAGGCTCTTGACTAACACATCGCACCGCTCGCAATTCCTTTTCATTTTATTATGTATTTAAAATCAGTCGCACAGCTCACAATAGAAAATTTATATAAAAACAAGAAATATTGAATACTATAGGGATAAGAGTTGACATTTCAGTCGCAGTTCAAAATAGAGAAATGTCGAAATCACCATGATAAAAATATAGTAAGGTAGAACCGCTGAGAATCAATTTTAAAATTCTTGACGTTTCCAAACAATTTAATTTTTAAATTTACTCACAAACTCACACACATATTTTCATTTTCAATCTCAAGCAACAACAATTTCGAACAATTTCAATTTTTTATTTTCACTTTTATATGATTTTAAAATGTTGGCAAACTTCAAAAAAAATCATGGCCGACAAATTGAGAGAACGGTTCTACCTTGCTATGTTTTTATCATGGAAATCACTTCTACCTTGTTATGCCTTGATTTGAACCGCTTGTTTATGTTTTTTGGCATAATAGTACCTTAAAAGAGAGCCTACCTGAGTTGTCAATCACACCTTGCTTAATAGACCTTGCGTACAAACATTTACGAAAATTTAACACCAGAAAAATGTCATTGCACAGTAGGGTGGTCCTTAAGATATCAACATCTCGGACACCCCTTATTTTGTTTTACGTTCAAAAAAGATATCCCGGAAACTTCCTAAATTAAAAATTTAATAAATTACAAGTTATGGGTCGCAGCCAAGTTTTTAAAAATTTTAAATTACAACTTTTATTGAAACTTTTTCAAATAAATTCAATAAAGTCGCTAAGTTATAGCTGGTCAAAGAAAAAATCTTATCAAACTTATGCTACTTAAAAAAAAATGTTTTTGCAACCCCGATTGTTTTTTTAATTTAAAATTATCTTCGATGCCCATTTTTGTATGTGCAACAAAGGAAGGGGTTGCCCATGATTTTGATATTGTTAAAGTCTAATGATACTTATTTGCTAAAAAAACAACAATTTTTTGTTATTAATTATATAGTTAATGTTCCATAAATTTTCGCCGAACTCAAACTAAGCTCATAAACGTTGCTCCAAAAAAACTTGTCAATAACCACAGCAAATTAGTACGAATTTCAATAAAGTAAATTAATTCCACTCTTCATTTCAGTCCTACGACAACAGCACCTCACACTAAGACAACATGCAGCCCAGCAAATATGTCGGCCTTGTGGCCGACTTAATGCCCAATATTCGGCTGATGAAGTACTCCGGTTTGTTCATGCATAATTTCACTGGCGGTTCTGGGCTCTTCAAAAAGATTTACTCATCCATGCACTTGGTCTTGGTTGTGGTGCAATTTCTGCTGATTCTGGTGAATATGGCATTGAATACGGATGAAGTGAATGAGTTGTCAGGCAACACGATAACGGTGCTATTCTTTACTCACTGCATAACCAAATTCGTATACCTGGCCGTCAGTCAGAAGCACTTCTACAGGTGAGTAGAGCAAAAAATAGCACACAAAAAACCAAAGTTGTGAGAATGTAATGAAATCACTGAAATGAGAAAGACGAAGGGCTACAGCCGCGCGGATTAACATTTCATTGAGTTGCGGAAATGTTTGTGAGTGAGAAATAATGCAAGCGTGCAGCTTTTAGCGGCGAGCGGGTAAAATTCAATTCAAAGAAATTGCGTCGAAGCAACGCTACGGCGTGGGCTTAGTTTAAGTTAAATGGAGCGTAGTAGTGCCAAAGCTGCTGAATAGTGGAACTTCCGATGGCGGCGCATGAATTCGTTTAATTAGCCGCACAATCAAGCATTTCAACAGCGCTACGCTCCTTGCGATCGCTCGCCCCCTGTTTGTTTATCTGTGTGTGTGTGTGCCTAGCTTAATGACGCACTATAAAATTCATTTCAANGCCGCACAATCAAGCATTTCAACAGCGCTACGCTCCTTGCGATCGCTCGCACCCTGTTTGTTTATCTGTGTGTGTGTGTGTGTCTAGCTTAATGACGCACTATAAAATTCATTTCATTTTAATTGCAGAACATTGAATATCTGGAATCAAGTAAATTCGCATCCATTGTTTGCCGAGTCAGATGCTCGCTACCATGCAATCGCCCTCGCCAAGATGCGAAAATTATTCACGTTGGTTATGCTAACCACCGTCGCCTCGGCAGTGGGTGAGTGCGCGCTTTTTATGCACTCGCATACTAGTACATACAAACATACAAATAGAAAGAAAATTTATATCTGTTCATATTAACTTTTGAATTCTTTCGCCCCCTACTCCCCACACTTCAGCTTGGACCACCATTACATTCTTCGGCGAGAGCGTTAAATTCGCCTTCGACAAGGAGACAAATTCGTCCATCACCGTTGAAATTCCACGCTTGCCGATTAAATCTTTTTACCCTTGGAATGCCATGTCGGGCATGTTTTACATAATCAGTTTCGCTTATCAATTCTACTATCTGCTCTTCTCCATGGTGCACTCGAACTTGTGCGATGTGCTCTTCTGTTCGTGGTTGATTTTCGCATGCGAGCAACTGCAACATTTAAAAGGGATCATGAAGCCCTTGATGGAGTTGTCAGCTTCCTTGGACACCTATCGACCCAATTCAGCGGCACTCTTTCGTTCTTTATCGGCCAACTCTAAGTCGGAGCTAATCAACAATGAAGGTGAGTGAATTTTGAAGACGAAATTAAAAATGAGAGAATTATATTTGGCGCTTTGCGGTTTGCCGGTTAACGTAGAAGTATTGCTTTGTTTCCTTAACTCTCAAGTAGAAGCTATATATGTATATGTACATCTTTTAAGCAATATTTTCGCTAAGTCTTCGCATATGATTCAGTGCCACTTCCTTCTCTTGCCACAAAAAAACCAGTAAAGCATTCTTCTTGAATATAACGTCGCTACCTTGTCAAACTATCAAATGTGAAAATTGAAACTTTTCAGGAGATCGCAAAATCTGTTGTAAAAATTTGTTGTAATTAGGAAAAGGTGTGGGATTCGAAACATTGTTAAAGCCTCTGCTTCTAAGAAAACTCGAATGATGATTTGCCAAATTATGTATCATTCTAAACGCTTGCGCAAAGTATCTTAATTGAAACAGCTTTTTTGCACATTCGATAGTTTGACATGGTAGCGAAGATATTTCAATCAATGGAGTTCCAGAAACAAGTACAATAAAAAATATATCAAGTATTTCAACAATTTTAGCCTTAATTGTTTTTTAATAACTTTGAGAAGTTTTTAAGTAGAATGTTCATATTAAAGGCAGTGGATGTTGGCGTCAAATACAAGATGTCTGTGAAGTTTGAAGAGTGTGCCACCGAAATAAAAAAATGGCTGGATACATAATACCTGTCGTAGCTGTTTTGTAATTTTTGAAATTTTACTCTTCTATTTATTTTAATGATTTAAGGTACTTCAGAATGTTAAAATTAAACGGTAAAAATGTTCTTCTTGCCAAAACGAATGAATCTACAATAGTCTTGGCGTTCTAATTTTTAAGCATGAGCAGCAATCGTAAATATAAATTAGCGACATTTAAAGCAGAGTAGAATCTCACTTTAAGTCTACAAAATATAACAACGCGATTTTATCTCGACCTTGGGCACTCGTTTTCAATCATAATAATATCTAAACACCTCTTCTTAATTCCATGTTTTAAATATGTAATTACTTTTCAGAGAAAGAACCCACTGATCTGGATATCAGCGGCGTTTATAGCTCCAAAGCTGATTGGGGTGCACAATTTCGTGCGCCATCGACGTTACAAACTTTTAATGGCGTGAATGGCACAAATCCGAATGGTTTAACCAGGAAACAGGAAATGATGGTGCGCAGTGCCATTAAGTATTGGGTCGAGCGGCATAAGCACGTTGTACGGTAAGTCATTGAATGCACTCTTTTACATACATATGTATGTATGTATATATGTAGATGGACATACATACATACAGTTATTCAGTTGATTAGTTTTTTCACATGTTAAAAATGCCTTCCATTTTAATTCTTTTTCGTTAACTTTTATTTAAAATATATATAACAAAAACCATATAAATGTTGCAGACTTTCTGAAAATTCAGCGAACTTCAAAACATGGAGAATAAAAACTTTTTAATCGGGCGACTTGTCAAAAATCAACTTAAAACTTGCTTTTGTTGTGTTGAAATTGAATGGGCTATAAAACTATATATTCAAAAAAAATCTATATAATCTGAACCACCCTGAGTCTAAAATAGTTTGTCAAGGCAATTTCGAAAAAAAAATATTTTTTTTATATTTGAATGTTATAACTTCGGATCTTAGAGTATGATATATCGATTTCTTTTGTTCCAAAGTTCACTATCCTCAAGAACCCCTCTAGTACTTATCAACCAGATCTCAGTTCTTGCCATCCTAACGCAGCATCCTAATGCCGGTAAAATAATACTCACCAAAAATCAGTAAACTTCTTCTAAAGTATTTTCGTGGCACTTAATTTAGATGCCAACTATTATTCACTATCGTTTAAATATGTTTGCACTTACATAATTATTTTGTTATTCAAAAGACCTTCCATTTCTTTATTTTGTTCCCAATTCGTGTGCCGCCATATTCCTTTACCGCACAAATTTGCACTCTTCACCCCTTTTTGTTCGCTCGAGTGCCTAAGCGGAAGCTGCTGATTGTTGAGGAAATTTAAATTTTCAATTCGAACCCATTGCCCTCATCAGAAATGGTGGTGGAACAACACAGCCATTGCGGCTATGTAGCCAAGCAGTTGGCCAAGAATAGCTTTCCAATACAAACCTTGCTGACCTTTATCGCAAGCTAAGCGTTGTCTTCATCGTTTTTGCTGTTTTTGTTGTTGTCGTTGCAATCACTGCAAATACCAGCAATCTGTCTGTATGTGTGTGTGTGTGTTCGCCTTCAGATACTTGCAGTCAATATTGAAAGTGTTGCATTGAACTATCGGCCCGGACAAGTTGAATACGTTGCGCGTTGGTTTCGTGGCTTGATTGCCAGCAGCTACTAAAACTGCTTAGCAAGCAGGCAGCAAACGGCAGGCGGCCACCAAAACAGCAAACAACGTACAGAACAACAACTTTGTTTGCAGTTTGTGTTGTTTATTCATTTCCGTTTCCTTGGCTCTTCAATTGTGGCACATCCGCCGCGCTCCGACAAACTTCGTCTAGTCTTGTGGATTTTCTTCTCGCTTGCGTCTTATCTGCGCATGTTTGTCGATAAGCTTAGACTGGGAAATTCGGTCAGTTTAAATGGTTAAAGTTATTTTGAATGAATCAGCTATTTTAATGGCTATGAAGGAGATAAAATTTGAGTGCTTATGGAGTGGTTGAGAAGGCAGGAGTAGAAGGGTATTGAATGGTTGTTGGAATATTTTAAATTACTCTGCTGGTTGGTTTTTCATTTCTAACGTATAAATTAAATTATTTTGAAAGGAAAAGAACACACAATGTCTATGCGTAAATTTTCCTTGTACAGAAGTACAACAGCATCGTGTTACCGGAGACTTGCCGCTGTTTTTATAGCCCTGGGCTTACGTATACATAATCTGTATTACATATATTGCAGAGTCTAACCTGGTGGCTCTGAAAAACTGTCAAAGTCGAAGTTAGTAGTGCTCTCATTTCCAGCAGTAGAAGCGACTATCGGCAGTTGGAAGAAAAGCTCACTTAGCAATAACAGACAGTCATTAAGGGCCGGCAGGTAGGCGAAACTCATGTTACCTTCGATCTCAAGTGGTCTACTAGCAAGGTACATGCTGTAATATAACATAGACACGTCGGCGTAGCCAGAATGAGAAGAAGAAGAAGAAGATAGACTTCTCCTTCATTTTTGACATTGAAAAATTCAAATTTTTAAATGGAAACAATAATTTGTTTTTATTGGAATTTTAGCATTGCTTACTTAAATATTATTTCATGTAGCGAAGCTAGACGGAACCAAACGAAGCTGTGTTCACACTGAACGAAGCGAATCGGAGGTTTTCTGATGGACCCTTGATTACCCTCAAGGAAACGCGGCAACACTATTTGCTCAATTTTATTTAAAAGATTCGTTGTTAAATTCGTTTTTGTTTGAATATTTTGATATCCTTTTGCAGCACCATCATGAAGCTGCAAAATTAAATAGAAAATTCAAAATCAAAAACTGCTTTGCTTTCAGCTCTAAAACGCTTCTAAAAAAGCTTTATGTATGAACACTTTCATATAGCTACAGCAATTTGAAAGCTTCACTCAGCTCGGAACGGCTTAGTTCGGCTCGGGTCCGCTTTTTGTGTGAACGTACCTTTAAGTTATATCTATCGAGAAAACATAATATCAAATGAAATGAAACCTATAAATTAACCTTTTTAAAATAATATGATCTAAACATTAACAGAAAATTAAGTAAAAAATATTAAAGTAATAAGTACTAAAAATTTAATGAAATTTAAAAAATTTATTTTTTTAACAATAAAATCGTGATATTAAAAAAATATATATATAAAAAAAAATTAATTCAAAATAAAAAATTAAGTCCATAAAAATTAAATCAAATAAAAAAAAGTATTTATGTTTTTAAGAAAGTTTATTCTAATAATTAAAAGAAAATGTAATTACCAAGAGGAAAACAATTAAAAAAGGAATATAAGCTCCTTAACTAGACGCATAAAGAAGATCCCACAATTAGTCGTATGGGGTCCCCAGTGACTCGAATTAAAGTGTTGAAAAAAGGGTTTTCAAAATAAAAAACGAAGTATGTATTTACAAAAATATTAAAATACTCTATTATCGTTAACTTAAAAAAAGAAAAACATAATTCCGACTTCAAACTAAAAAAAAAAAACAAAAATAAAAAATTACCTCCGCCAAAAAATGTTGCGTTAGTAGTCGCATGGGGTCCGGACTTAAAAAGATTAGCGACACATGCGCACACACCGATGTTCTGGCAGTGTCTTATTTACCCCGCGGGGAGTTAGGAAGCTAGACAGAGCGCGAGCACGCTCCAAGCACTCCAAGATATTTGTTTTCAACTTGATCACTTTAACCCTTTGCGCCTAATTAAGGGTTAAATGAATTACAAAGAAATGCATGGATGTATTTTTGCCACTGACTTACATAGTATTTACTTTGTTGTATTATATGCCTTGACCAAGAATATAAATTAAATAATATGGTACGATGAATAGGAAATGCTTTATACCATCTTCCAACAGCTGTGCGAAGGCGTAAAACGCTTTAACTTTGAATTGTATAGCTCAAAACTTTTTTTTTTTCATAAAATTACTTAAAGCTTGGATGAGGTGTTTTCTTAAGGGTTTATTAGCCTCTAAAATTACCTCTGTTAAGTCCATCACTGCTATATCTTTTACACTGTCACCCTTAAATTCAGTATGAAATTTCTTTAAACAAAACCATACAATTCACAGTTCTAAACTTTATACAAGATTTAGGAAAACCACTCTTATCCTGTTTGAAAAGTCGAACTCAATGAATTTATACACAAGTCATATGAAATATTAAAATGTGGTTGTCAAACTGTTCGTGGCGGCGTGGGAGAGTTTGTAAACATATTTTAAACCTGTTTGAAAAGTCGAATTTATTCAAATATTCACAAGTTATCTTTGTTTGAAGAGTGTTGCCACCTCTTTCAAAATCGCATTTATTAAATATGGATATCAAACGGTTCGTATCGGCGAGGGAATGTTGTAACTATATACATATATACAAGTTATATGAAATATTAAAATGTGGATCTCAAACAGTCCGACTAGGCGGGAAGACGGTTTGTAGTGAAGAGGGTTGCCACCTGTTTAAAAATTCAAACTGACCTTGAATTTAGGGAGATTTTAGTTTGAAATATTTTGAAGGGGTTCCCACCAGTTTGAAAAGAATTATATGAACTATTAAAATATGGGTTTCAAATGTAATAGTGTTTAGAAGTCTTTATTGTGAACATATTATACTTGGAAAACGTCGGCAAGGAAGATCAATAGAAGAAATCGAGGTGAATTTGTTCAAGAGTATCCCGATATACATACATTCGTCCGGTGCCTTGAAACTGCTCATCCAAATAACGTCGAGTGCTTTTGTTTCAGATTGTTGCTGCAAAAAAGCTTTCAATGTCGTCGACGAAGTAAATTGCTCCAAAGAAGCCAATCAACAACAAAGTCATTTGCTGACTCGATAAGCCAGCATTGCCGCTGGGCAAAACAGAGACTTGATGTGAGAAGAGCAGTTTGAGTCAGCTAAAACATTTGGTGCAAAAGCAAAAATAGCTTTTAGTAGTCGATCAGCAAAAAATCTTATAATAAAATCATGCAACGTGCAACCAAATGGAAATAGAAAAAAAAATACATACGTTAGAATTAAGGAAAATAAAGAGCTTTTGAACTTAAAAGCTATATATATGTATGTGCGCTTTTCTTTGACATAGCAATGCGCGTTATAATTTATTTAAAATTGTTAGTGCAGCAAGCTTTTGCAGAAGCATTGTGGAGCAAAGCAGTTTTTAATTTTGAATTTTAAATTTTTGATTTTTCAGCTTTATGTCGCAGTAACATTGTAGTCGCTGCGAAGAATAAATTTAAATAATTCAAAATGTACTTTTCCATAAAAATTTTCTGAAGAAAATCTATCAAATTCGCTCGGCTTTCCGTGTGTACGTATCCTTAGAGTTTGACAACGATGCACGAAGTGTTCGAGGCTTGAAGCAAAATTCTAAATTGCTTAAATTACATAAAACATTTACAATGGCAGATACGATAATACCTACAGTATCGGTCAAATATATAGCACGCCATTTCAAAGTGATATTGTGTGCAACTTATGTTTATTTATTTATTTTTGAGAATTTTCAATTAAGATACAGTTCTTTCTCTAACAAACCCCATATAAACC